CATCGGGCTCATCGCCCGCGGCTGCTGTCACAGACCAAGGTCCAAACCACTTGGGAAGCAGTTTGCGTGAAACATCCTGTTCCAGTGCAAACTCTTCCGCGGAGACCCAAACCAGATCACCGGCGTGGATGGGACATGGTACGCGACGCCTGTTGGCTTGCTGCTGCATGCGGACTTGAGCCTTTTGCATATTTGCGACAGGCTTGAGTCAACAATTCCCCGTACTTCCGGACGGAAGCGGGAGAGCAGGCAGCGTCAATGTCGGCTGGTCGAGGGAGGAGAAGGTCGGCGAAGATACGTCCTTTCCGTCCACCGTGGTGCAACTCGAATGGAGTCACGTCGATCGCCAGGTGCACCGAAGTGTCGAACTCGATGTCGGGGAGGCGGTCAACCCAATCTTTCTGGTCCAGACAGATGAGCGTACGAAGCATCATTTGAGCAGTTTGATGTGCCCGCTCCGTCTGCCAGTCCGCCGAGCCGAACTTGGTTTCATTGTTGTGTCGGACTCCTGCATGAGAGCAGTCCAAAATGCCGACATGAAACGAGTGTCGCGGTCGCTGACAATGTCTTCTGGTATACTGTGGCCACAAATCCAACCAGTGTGTAGGAGGCGTGCCAACTCGGGAGCCGTGGTCCAGGAGTAGTACTTGCAAGGGAGAAAACGCGCGTACTTACTCAATCGGTCCACAACTGTGAGGATGCCGTCGTGCCCGAGCCGGTCGCGAGGAAACGGACCGGTGACGTCCATGGCAATGGAGAGACCGGGTTCCCGTGGGATAGGCATCGAGTGTAACTCGCCATAGGGATTGCGGTTGCGGGGTTTGCTACGTCGGCAAACTTCGCACAAGTCGCAATACCGAGTGACATCGGTAATGAGGTCGGGCCATCGGAATCGCTGTCGAAGCCGTGCAATAGTACGGTTGACTCCGAAATGGCCGGCGAGTCGTGAATCATGATACTCGCCGAGGAGGCGAGTCCAAAGACGACGGTCGCGTGGGACACACAATAAGTCCTTGCCTCTCGAGTGGAGGAGCAAGTATCCGTCGACAATGCGATAGTGGCTGGCCGGCGGGTGATCCGAAGATAGCTGTGCGTACAGCGTGGCGAAGTCCGGATCAGACTTATATGCCCGGATGATGTGTCGCTGAAGCTCCTCGTCGAATGCGAAGGCATGATGTGTCATAGCGCAAAGATCTGGTGTTCCCGAGAGTGCATCTGCTGCGCGATTTGAGAGGCCGGGTAGATGTTTCGGTGTAAAGTCAAACTGGTCGATGAAGTACATCCATCGTCCGATCGTGCTGCTCACCATATCCTGCGTCTTGTGGTAGGTCAATGGATTATTGTCTGTGACCCATGTGAACCTACGACGCCCAAGGAGGAAGTGCCGCCATCGCTTGAGAGCCATGACGAACGCGAGTAGCTCCTTCTTCCTTGCATCATCAAGTGAGTTGATGGNATCGCTTGAGAGCCATGACGAACGCGAGTAGCTCCTTCTTCCTTGCATCATCAAGTGAGTTGATGGGAGGCACTTTGTGGCTGAAATACTCCACAAGGTGCCAGTCGTCGCCGTCGTGCTGTTCCAAGACTGCCCCAATGTTGTAGCTGGAAGCGTCCGTAGTCACTCTCGTAGGCAGGGTGGGGTCGTAGATGCTAAGGACGGGTGCCATGAGCATAGCCGTCTTAAGTGCTTGGAATGACCGTCGTGCGTCGTCATCGAATACGAATGGCACCTTTGGCGACTGTAACCTCGTCATATGTGCAACAATCCTTGAGTATCCGGTGATGAATTGTTGATAGTAGCCCGCCAATCCCATGAATGAACGAACGTCCATAGTGTTGGTGGGCTCGGGCCATACTCGTAGGGCCTCGATCTTGTCCGCGGGCGGACGGATGCCTTGCGGTGTCACATAATGGCCCAAGTACTCCAGCTCCTGCCGCGCGAATTCGCACTTGTCGCGGTTGGCTTTGTACTTGGCTTGTCGTAGCCGCTCCAAAACGGTGCGCAAGTGTTCCACATGCTCCTCCAAACTCCGGCTGTACACCAGGATGTCGTCGAGGTAGATAAGTACAAACCGATCCAGCATGTGTCGGAACTCCGTTGTCATAGCCGCTTGGAAAGTGGTTGGGGCATTTGTAAGGCCAAACGGCATAACCAGCCATTCGAAATGCCCATACCGTGCTTGAACGCGGTCTTGTAGCGATCCTCCTTGCGAATCTCGAGTTCGTGGTACCCTGACTTGAGATCCAGCTTAGAGAAGAACTGGGCACCGCCCAATCGCTCGAGAAGGTCATCGATGCGTGGGAGAGGGCCGGCGTTCCTGATCGTCTGCGCGTTGAGCTTGCGATAATCGATGCACAACCGCAGGTCCTTGTTCTTCTTCCGGACGAAGAGAACAGGAGCACCGTATGGCGATGATCTAGGCCGAATCCAGCCTTTCTCCAGAAGGTCGTCGAGTTGTGCCTGAAGCACACTTAACTCTTCCTCGCTCATTCGGTAGATGCAACCGCGCGGAGGTACGGCCCCGTCCTCGAGGATGATCTCGTGGTGGATGGGTTGATCCGGTACTACTCCGTGCGGGCCTTCGAACACGTCGCTGTAGGCGTTGAGAAGCTCGGTGATGCGTGGATCTGAAGGTGAGTCCGTCGATGAAGCGTCATGGGGTGGGAGGGCGTGGAGAAAACACACCCCCATCTCCTCGATGTTGTCTCTGATGATGGAAGCTCGCATGCTTGTGGCGGATACCACGTGGCAGCTGATCGAAGGATAAGGAAGAGGCACCGTGCATGGAACTAGTACTCCGTTCTGATCACGAATGTGAGCGGTGCGGTGGAAGAAGTTCACCGGGTGATCCTCGCTTCGCAGCCATGACATGCCCAAGATCATGTCAAATTTGGTGTCCAAAATGTCAAAGGACACCGCCTCACTTGCGTGAGGGGCAAAGTACACTGGGACGGCGTCAATGCACCGGTCGATGGACTTGTGAGTGTGACCGTCCGCCAACGTGACTTGCGTAGGCTGGGACTTCCTCCGGACGCGTGGGCCAAGGCCGGCGCGCACCATGAAGTCCTGGCTGATGTAGTTGCGAGATGCTCCGCAATCGATCAAGGCGTTGCAGGTCGCCTCTCCGATCTGAATGCGTACATATAGCAATGGTGTGTCGATGTCGTCGTATCGTTGCATCTTGAACTCGCGCTCGATCTTCGCAATGTAAGTGTGAAGGTCGACAACCTCTACTCCGGCGTCCATCAACGGAGCTGGTCCTGCAGTGTGCAAGTTATCTCGCAGTTGTGCCATGAGCACATTGCAATGCGGTTTCGGCAATCGTCCAGTCGGGGGAACGGGCATCCACTGGAAGTCCGTGAACGTCAGTGGGTCGAGCACCTCAAGTCTTGACCACGACGATGAATCCCCGACGATAGATGGCGGCGAAGCTGCCAAATCGGTTGTCGATGGTAATGAAACCGTGCATGCGGTAGATTGTTGCACGTGGAGCGGTTGGTCCAGCGGTGGAACCAAGTGGACAGCATAGTCCTCGTAAGTGTAACGAGAACTTGC